GCGTCACTACACAGTCAATGACAATCAGAAAAAGATTTTTTTTAAATCTATTTATAAATTATTGTTCAATTAACACTTTTAGATATTTTATAAGAGAAGAAATGTATGTATACAGTTAGTTTGACTTGTTAAATTAGTTACATGATCCACTACTTAGAATTATTTATTTTCATGTTTTTCCTTTTTGATAAAATGTGTTTTAATCTTTTTTAATGAATATAAAATGTATACCAAAGTATAATGTTAACATACCGTGTAACGGTCGGACGATGTGTCCACAAAATCAACATAGTAAGACGTTGACTTTCTTTGTAACTGAAGACTATGGCATGAATTTAAACTTTTTATTGTTGGTTTTGCTACTAGTACTTGTTGTAATATTTGTGATTTAAAATTTGAGCCGCGTCACGACAAAACCAACATAGTGCGTTTGCGACCAGCATGGATCCAGACCAGCCTGCGCATCCGGGCAGTCTGATCAGGATCCATGCTGTTTGCTATCAGTTTCTGTACTTGTAATAGGGATGGTAAGCGAACAGCATGGATTCTGACCAGACTGCGCGGATGCGCAGGCTGGTCTGGATCCATGCTGGTCGCAAACCCATTATGTTGGTTTTGTCGTGACTCGGCTCAAATGTTTATCATCATGTTATAATTATATGGACACACATATCTCAATATATTTAATAATCCAAAAATATAAACACATAATGTTTGTATGAAAGAAAATAATAGGGTATTCACTTGTACATTGTAAATTGAAATAAAATTTTGAATAAGATATTGCTTTTGTTTTCGTCTGATTTTCAGCTCTGAAAAGAAGATGGGATTTATTTTATAGGAATTGTCATTACGCCGCCTGTCAATCTTAGCTGGCAAGAGTCTTCCAGATCAGCCAATCTGCGATCGTTATCAGTTTCACGCTAAGATTCCTGCGAAGTCCACCATTTTCCTTAGACAAGCTACTTGTATAAGACAATGGTGCAGCAGTATTTATATTGAAATTATTTTAATGTTTTGTCAAATTAGATATATTAAATCGGTACATCTAACTTACCAAATATCCGGCATATTGACAGAAGGAATCAGTTACTAGGGCTATCAGTTCGTCCGTCTATCTGTAACTCTTTCCTATATTCACTCATGACACTAATAGTTCGGTGAATGTCTGGTACTAAAATCAAACCAATAAGGTTTTTGTGCTTTAGTGTACTTATTCAAAGCGACGAACGCAAAAAGTCGTCGCAAATACGGAAGCGTCGTCATTCTCATGAATGTTAAAAAGTAGCTTTCTTTATAATAATATTAGCAAATGTATGCAATATGATTGATTTCTTTCTTAGATAATTTGGTGTGTTAAATTTCCATGTTGTTTGTTTCGGTCATGGAGTGAACATGGGCACCAGACGGAGCCTATGGTACCATATTCAACATACATCTCTCATAATGGTCACCCATTGTCTACCTATCAGCTACTATTGCGGAAACTAGTTTTATCGGTAAAAATTACCTATTAGGACTTTTTATACGCCCGTTTGAAAAACGGGACGTATTATTGGAACGCCCCGGGCGGGCGGGCGGGCGGCGTCCAATTTTGTCCGAAGCATATATCCTACATGTATGGAGGGATTTTAATGAAACTTCATAGAAATGTTCACCACTATGAGGAGCAGTGTCGCGCACATAAACCAGGTCTCTAGGTCAAAGGTGAAGGTCACACTTAGAGCTCATTGAAAAATGCTTGTCCGGAGCAAAACTTCCACATGTATAGAGGGATTTCAATATTACTTGGCACAAATGTTCAACATTGTGAGGTGGAGTGTCGCGCGCAAGATTCACAGGTCCTTGCGGCCAAGGTCAAGGTCACACATAGAGGTCAAAGTTCAGATAAAAATATGAAGATGTGTATATTGACCATTTAGTCATCATTTATTGAGGGATTGTAACACAAATGGTCATTATCAAGACTATGGCTGTGATACATATAATTTAGGTCAATATATACAAGGTCACTAAAGATGATGAAATATCCAGATTTTGTCCGGAGCATATCTCCTACACGCATGGAGGGATTTTAATGAAATTTCATAGAAATGTTCACCATTATGAGAAGCCATGTCACGCACATGAACTAGGTCTCTTGGTCAAAGGTCAAGGTCACACTTAGAGCTCATTGAAAAACGCTTGTCCGGAGCAAAAACTTCCACATGCATAGAGGGATTTCAATATAACTTGGCAAAAATTTTCACCATTGTGAGGCGGAGTGTCGCGCACAAAATTCAGGTCCCTGCAGCCAAGGTCAAGGTCACACAGGTCAGAGTTTAGATAAAAATATGAAGATGTGTATAGGGACGATTTAATCATCATTTATTGAGGGATTGTAACACAAATGGTCATTATCATGACTATGGCTGTGACACATGTACTTTAGGTCAATATATGCAAGGTCAAGGTCACTAAAGATGGTGACATATCCAGATTTTGTCTGGAGCATATCTCCTACATGTATGGAAGAATTTTTATAATACTTTATGGAAATGTTCACCACCATGATATGTATTGCTCCATGCATGATCCAGGTCAAAGGTCAAGGCCACACTTAGAGCTCATTGAAAAACGCTTGTCCGGAGCAAAACTTCTACATTCATAGGGGGATTTCAATATAACTTGGCACAAATGTTCACCATTGTGAGGCTTAGTGTCGCACGCAAAATTCAGGTCCCTGCGACCAAAGTCAAGGTTACACATAGAGGTCAAAGTTCAGATAAAAATTTGAAGATGTGTATAGGGACCATTTAGTCATCATTTATTGATGGATTGTAGCACAAATGGTAACTATCATGACTACAGGTGTGACACATTTAAGCTAGGTTAATATTTGCAAGGTCAAGGTCACTGGAGATGATTTAATATCCAGATGTTGTCCGGAGCATTTTTTCTACATGCATGGAGGAATTTTAATGTTACTTTATAGAATTGTTCACCACCATGAGACGTAGTGCCCTGCACATGAACCAAGTCTCTAGGTCAAAGGTGAAGGTCACAGTTAGAGCTCATAGAAAAACGCTTGTCTGGAGCAAAACTTCTACATGCATAGAGGGATTTCAATATAATTTGGCACAAATGTTCATCATTGTGAGGCTGAGTGCCGTGCATAAAATTCAGGTCCCTGCGACCAAGGTCAAGGTCACACATCCTGCGCATATCTTCCCTACTAATTTGTTTTAAGGTTCATTTAACAACACAGTGCCAAGAATAAAAACTTGCTTGCTAGATAACACTTATCCATAATGCCCCCATCTCCATCTAAAGCTTTCGTAAACGGGCGTATTTTGTGACTATGGCACCCTTGTTTAAAACATGTTAAAATTCTCGACCGGTGAAAATATTTTACAAAAAAAAGAAACGATTGACAACCTGTCTTCACCCGATATCACCGATGGGGCAACGATAATCAAACGATCAATTAATAATTTATCGAAAGAAAAAAATGAGAACACTTGTCCATAACCGATAGCCGTTCACTCAGTTAAACAACATGATAAACAATAAAACAGTTGGTATCTTTAAAGGCCCATTATGCCTCAAAAATGCTATAATTTTTATTTCTCAATTTTTTTTTATTTCGTTACAGTTTCAAAAAAAATGACTTATTTGCCATATAGATGAAGTGTCTTTGCTCCTTTTGCTTTGTTGGCAATTGGTATAATTACAGTGAATACGTGTTCGGCATGGAAGTAAAAATACAACATTTTGCTACATTAACGACACATTACTGCTCAATCAGCGCTACTTTCTTCAGCTGTGAAACACCTAACATACCCTTAATCAATTATTAAAACATTATTAAAACATGTTTGACATGTCTAATATGGATTTCTGATGAGGAATAATGTGCCTTTAATATCAAATGACCGACTAGGGATCGCCAGTCTGTTTAACGCGTAATTTCTGTGGAAATTGTTCTCGCTAAAATACACTCGTCTTTTAAAAAAGTGTATCTATTTAATTTCTCGAAGTACTTAAGTTTTGTTTTATGCAATAAGTCTCTTTACATATATTTAATCTCGAGACAAGTACAATTTATTCAAATATTGACTTTATAAATTGTTACATCTGTCAAACTTGAGACGCTAAAATCGAGTCAATGATCTACCTAATTAACATGTCACATAGGTAATTGATTATTTATATAGATGTAAGGTTAAGGCCAAATATTTACATTTGTTTCATGGTTCGACTTTATGACAGCATGCACTTTATGGTAAATGATTAATTTTAGATAAAAATAAGGAGCCGTTTATATCACGGAATTTGCAATGGACAAATATCTGTGAAATCGTATCAATATATGAAATACTTATTGAAATTGTGCCCATTGTAGACCTTTCCACTTTAATAACTTATGGCTGACAACACATATTTTACCTTGCAATCCATTGATAACTGCTAACAATTATACAATACGCAGGCGGTTTCTTACAAAGTATATATAAACAAAACTATAAAAGATAGTATAAGCTTTTTGAACAATGAAGTAAATATCCAGCATGCCCATATCACGTGACTTTCACGTGCAAACACAGTTTTCCCGTTTTCGAACCAAAACTGTTCATCTATCCAAAGTGAAAATATAAAAATACCATACACTTATAATAAAAAACTTTTCCCTTAGCCGCCGATTTATTTGGTCGTATTTGATAAAGAAAAAAGGAAGAAAAACTACAACAACAACATTTGAACCGAGCGATTTATTTAATAGTTCTGCTTGCCGTATTACAAAAACAAAATGACGCGAAAGTCACGTGGTATGGGCACATTGATATCATCGCGTTATATAATCACATTTTCTTTGAACTTTTTTATATACAAATACAAAGATTAGCTCATCAATGATATCAGACATAAAATTTATTAACTATATAGCCTTAGGCGGCACGAGAACCAAATTTAACATACTTCACTTGGCCTTAAATGCGCGAGTCAATATATTAAGAATTTTGAGAATTTCGACACCAAGTTTTTACAACTTTACTTAATCATGTAACTTTTATGATGGTCATTGCATTAGCGATCTAGGTCACTTTCTTCTTTGGTGAATCTAGCTGGTTGGAATAACAGTTTCGTTTCTTTAAAGGTAACACTTTAATTACTTTTTAATTAAATCTTTGTGACAGGGTATATTTGAAATGTTTTATGTAATCTTATGATTTTCAAAATGAATAATAAATAAGATAAATAAATTGATTACCAAATAAATGAATGAATGGATGAATGAATGAATGAATGAATGAATGAATGAATGAATGAATGAATGAATGAATGAATGAATGAATGAATTAATTAATTAATTAATTAATTAATTAATTAATTAATTAATTAATTAATTAATTAATGAATTAATTAATTAATTAATCAATTATTGAATGAATAAATGAATGAATGAATAAATAAATGAATAAATAAGTAAAATAAATAAGTAAAATAAATAAATAAATGAAATTAAGAGAAAAGTTTTTAATATGTTTATTTAACTTATTAATTTGGTGAAAATACCTGTATTGTATTTCAATTGAAAGTAAAATGTAAAAATGAGCATGTGTGTCAATAATCATTTTCTTTTCAAACTTTCAATAGAAATAAGAATATTTCTAAAACAAAATCAGGCGCATGTTTTTACGAAGAATATATATACGTTCAAGTACATATTCTGTTATTGAAAATTGATCTGTTAAATTAAGATTAAGATGTACACGCATTTAGATGAAACAATTACATGACATGAAAGTGAAAAGGCAAATACCAATAAGGTAGGTTAAGATGAGATTAGATAAGCAAAGATAAGGTTAGGTTAGGCTAAGTTTAGTTATATAGGTAAGATTAGGTAGTTGGGTTAGGTTAGATTAGGTTAAGTTAGGTTAGGTTAGGTTAAGTTAAGTTAAGTTAGGTTTGATTAGGTTAAGTTAGGTAGGGCTAAGTTTTGTTAGGTTAGGTTTGGTTACGTAAGGTTCGGTTAAGTAAACTTAGGTTAGATTAGGATATGTTAAGTTTAGTTAAATTTGGTTAGGTTAAGTTAGGTTAGGTGAGGTCTAGTTGTGTAAGGTTAGGTTGGATTAGGTTAGATTAAGTTAGGTTATATTAGGTTAATTTCAGTTAGGTAAGGTTAGGTTAGGTTGGGTAAGGTTACGTTAGGTTAAGTTAAGTTAAGTTTGGTTAAGTTAAGTTAGGTTTTGTTAAATTAGGTAAGGTAACGTTAGGCTAGGTTTGGTCACGTAAGGTTCGGTTAAGTTAAGTTAGGTTAGATTAGGATAGGTTAGGTTAATTTTATTTAGATTAGGTTAAGTTAAGTTAGGTGAGGTTATGTTAAGTTATGTCAGGTTATGTTAGATTAGGTTAGGTTAGATTATGTTACATGTAAGTTAGGTAACGTTAGGTAAGGTTAAGTAAAGTTAGGTTAGGTTCAGTTAAGTTAGGTTAGATTAGGTAAATTTAGAATAACGTTAAGTTAGGTTAGATATGGTTGGGTAAGATAAGGTTAAGTAAAGTTAGGTAAGGTTAGGTGAGGTTCACAGTAAGAAAATATATTTATATTTATTGTATGACATACACGTGTACATTTATATACACACTGACCATTTGGTCTTTAATACGAATAAAAATGAGTAGTACCATGTCCAGGTATATTGAGTTTGCGCATGACGTGCGTGTGCATGTATGTGTCTGTTTTACGAAATATTCTTCATAGTTAATCAAAGCAAACGACTTTTTTTTATATTGTGTCAAAAAGTAACTTATATAATTACACGCTTTCATTTTATATATTTCAATTAGCACTACAATATATGAAATATATTTCGTAATATGCTTTTGAAATATGTAAGACATAGAAATCAAACGATTTTAAAACGTCACAAAAATGCAAATATTATGAGTACACCCAAAAAGAAGCCATCATTACAAATATCTGCACTTCTTAAGCTTATTTGTATTTTTTTTACGAACTATAGTTACCAAATAAACTGTATTATGAGATTTAATACTGAACAAAAGAAATGAAAAGTTACCTTATGGTTTAAATACCCGAGCAATATGTATTAGTCATTCAACATTGACCTTCTAACCTTTACGGAATTAAAAATACAAAATAATGTAAAATTTAAAGGAAAATAAAGGAGACGATAAACTTTCTCATGAGATATTTGTACATAATATTTCATTGAAATTAAGGAACATATCAAGGAATATTAAAGCGGTATTCCCCCGTCGGATGACGCATGCATTCTCACTTTGTTAAATAACCAACCCTTAAGGCGCTATTTGTATTACACGTGACATGCATTTTTATTTATGTTACTCATATTTGACAAGAACTAATAATTGAAAAACTCTGATAAGTTGTTGGTGTTTTCTGGATAAATCAATGCGCATTCAAATGCGATACATTAAGTTAGTTAATTACACATGAGCCAAAATATTTCAAGAAAATCAAACTTGAGAAAATAAAGATATTAAGAAAAGTAAAAGGATTCAAATGATAATTTACATGTTATATGCGATTAATCACTAATATTGCAGTATTTATCACCATATCTTTACTGTGTCAATTTCGGTTTTCACGTCATAATATGAAACTTTCAAATCCATTTTCAAATTTCTCATGAATCTGGAGGCATGTTGCTAAATACAAATAATACTTTTTGTCAACACCGTTTGCTTAATGTATTTAAGTTAAAGATAATACAAATAGTATATAAATACATGTACATGCAATGTAGTAGGTAAATACCAGCCGAGGATCTTTCCCAAAAAGGAAAGTAGAGTCTTCGGGAAAGAAAACAACCATTTTTCATTAACTCTTGGTATGGACTGTGAGCAATAAAGAATACGTCCGAGCCGCATGCTGATTGCTTCAACCTAATAAAATGTAAAAAAAGCGCCGGGAAGATGGACTTTATGATAAAAATGTGGTACAGATACAATATGTTCAATATGTAAATATGATAAAAATAATGAACAAATCAATATAAATCAAATAAAATATCTAAAATACCAAAAAATAAAGATATATGATAAAGAAACTAGAAAATATGTAGTACTAATAAATAGTTCTGGCAAGAATATTAATACAAAAATGCGGGACAAATATGATATAAATACCAGATGAATATTATAAGGCTATATTTGTTGTATCCACATATCACGCGATAAGTACAAAGTAATTAGTTATGTATATATCAATCTGTATTTCACTCGAAATATAGTATATAGTTTAACTTTGCTATGTATTCTTGGTGTTGTACTGTCATTATAACATTCCAACTTTTGTCAATTTTCAGCAATCGATGATCTTCATACATGAAGATGCTCCTCCTAGAGGGCCGAAATTTGCCGAAGGAATGAAGTACAACAAGAACTTCATAATGCCGCTGGTTGAGGCTACCCTTGAATTAGAGGCTTCACGGATTTTACCGAATATGACCGAAATTCACCGATTCTATCTTTATACACTATCACGTGATATCCATGACCACGGGAATGTCATTGTTTTACGAGCTTCAGACTCAAACTTTTTCGTACTTGAAATTTCGTGTAATCACGAATATGACGGTTCACCAAGGATTTATTTGACAATTGATAGTTTCTTCGGAAAAGAGGAAGATCTCGTTTTTCGCGGGAGAGTGTGGGATTCTGGACTTGGACTGGTTTACAGTGCATTAAATTTAGTAGACAGACTAAGTTTCTATTTCCGGTTTAGAAATAACGCTATGCGTTTCGTGGAGAAATATTTGACTCTATTAGGAATCGGTTATTACAGATGTATGCATGACTTTGAGAGAGTGTTACTCATGGCATACGGACTTAGTGCCGCCGAAATATTTTTGGATCTCTATTTTCGTTCTCCTAGACCCCAGCGACCACAAAGCAGTATGTACATGATGACCCAGGTTAAAACGTTAGAAAAGGCGTTTTTCTAAATTATACAAAGAGAATGAACACATAATTATGGTACAAATAGTGAAAATTGCTTGTTGATATATTTGTTTACGAAAGCTGCCATTTTTGTAATGTAAAAATTATCTTCGAAACTATGATTTTTATCTATGTTTTCATTATTTTTTTAGCAACACTAAATTAATGTGTCCGACTGATAATGAGTTCGCATAAAGTACATTATAATTACATTGATATTGATCGCAAATGCAAATCTATTATATAAACGATATGGAGTACCTTTTATTACACATATACTCGTACATGTTCTGCCATATCTAATGTCATGTTTTTCTAATGACGTTGGCAGCAAGTTGGAATCATACACTTATTCAATTGGCGATTATATGCCTGGTTTTATTTCCTTAAATTAGGAAACCGAAGATACAAACAATGAGTTTTTATTTCAATTTGAAACATATTCCGAAGACGTTTCCTTAATAACAGGTACGTAGCTTCAAAGCTAAAATATTATCTGTACATGTAAAACTCATCGTCGGAATTTACGGGTACCTATTCCGTTGATAGAACGATCACCACACGAACAAACACGCCGGGACTAAGTAGAATTAAACTATATGCATGCATTTAGAATATTTTTATGTCTACATCGCGCCTTTATTTTATACATTTTCAATCGATTTTTAAATAATAAAAAAAACAACATTTGTAGCAGCTGTTAGGGGAATATACATGATGTTACACGTATATATAATCATCCTCAGGTATTCTTTATATGAAATTCTATTTTTTTAGTTTATACAAATTTATTAAACGTCAGTTGTGTATGAAGCTATAAGCTTATTGAAACACTCGAAACCGTCCTGGAACCAACCAGTACTAAGCAAGGTGTTGCAAAGATCTTGTTCGCATTGTTATTACAGGTATTTGTATTTTGTGTAACAGAAGAGATATACCGTACTCACTCAAAATTACAAAATTGATTGTGTAATAGAGTAAATCGAATTATATAACTTAAACTCATAAATATTTGCTATAAATATAACAGATATCTTCAACTACATACGTATCCTCGCAACGAAAATAATTTCATTTATTAATACACATGGGAGAAATGATAAAGTGGCAAAGGTAATGGGCTAGAACCTTTTGGTAAAGTTACAACAGTGTTCCGTTATATGACACCAGTACTGTTTAGTCTCTTTAACCATCATCACAACTGAGCCATGCAGAAGAAAGTTGCTTCTAAAGACAGATCTCATTCTTTTGTTCGCCTTAAAAAGGCATTGTCTGACATACGAGTTCTACTCTAGCATAATTAATAACAATGAGATTATTTGTTTTATTTATTATATAAAATTGAGCTTCTTTTCCATACATTCAATATCTAAATACAATCATCACATATATAATTTTTGATTGATAAGTAACATATGAAAAATGCCGATAAATAATAATAATGATAATCTAATAAAAAATGACCTTAAAAATAGAAGTTGTACTTTGGTTCAATGGAAACAATCATGCAAGATGGCATTTAAAAATAGCATTTATATCTAAAAATGGAATGACATATTAATCAACATGATTTAGAAATTGACCCGCATTGTTTTACGTTAAACCAGAGAAGTAAGAACCCGAACATGTTGCCCCAAGTAAAACCACCATCTTACTCCCAAACACTTAATCTTGCCCCAAATGAAAATATTTCAACGTAAATCTTCCCCCACTAACTTCCCTTGCTGGAAAAAGTTATACAGCCTTTGCAACCAATATAGAGCCAGGCCAGCCGGCATATTCGTGTGGTCAGACCAGGCTAACATCACATTTATATCTTAACACATCTCCAAGATTGACAATAGACAGTCTTTAAATAATTTAATAAACGTCCATCTTCTTGTTATTCAGCATTTTAAGTCAATAAATAGACTTTTTTTATTTTTGTAGCATCCGCGTTCATATAAAATTGTTTGTTTGATTGATTGATTGATTGATTGATTGATTGAGTAGAATCGTACCAACACAGTATAAGTCATGTGGCGACTTTACAGCTTTACTGGTGGGGGAAGACCTCAGGTAACCGCCTGTGCTCTTTTTCAGGCCCTAACGGGTACCTGGGTATAGAACACCGACGTTCCGTAAGCTAGCTGGATAACTTCCTCACATTAAAGAATCCAAAGTCCTTGTCGAGATTTGAACCCACAGTGATGATGGACACGTGGTTTGAAGTCAACGACCTTATCAACCCAGTCACGGACGTCCCGCACACAATCTTAAAAGGCTCCGGCTCGTAATGTTGGAGGCAAAGTAAATTTTGGAGGAGAAACTTTGAATTTTGTTGGCTGAAAAGTTGCTGGTGCTATCAGAGTTTTGCCTCTAATACTGCTGTATGTCTTAGGACTTTGAGCTTTAGAAAATGTAAGTGCTTCGTCGTCATCGTCAAAAGCGTATCCGTCTTCTTCTACTTCTTCTTCTTCCTCCTCCTCCTCCTCATCATCATCACTATAACTATCATTTTCATCACCATTAATACTATCATCTCTGTCACCGTCCATGTCTGTGAATATGTCACTGTTTTCGTCAAAAGAATCATTAATATTGTCTATAAAATCAAATTCATCCTCTTCCGTATCGGCATCATTAGGGTCATTGTCGTCATTAGTAAAATCATTAACGTCTGCAATGCTTATCAAATCATCATCGTCGTCATCATCATCAGCTTTGTCATCATCAGCATCATCGGAATCATCATTTAGAAGTAATGGAGAGTACAAATGTTCAGTCAATGGTGTTAAATTTGGTTCCACATTTTCAATGTCTGAATCTTCGTCACTTACAACAATTGGATTCCAGCCGCTCTCTCCTATCTTCTTTATGATTCTTAATGGCTTCTTTCTCTTCCTTTTATTAACACATGTCGGCTCAGTATTTACATTTTCAGAAATTTGTTCCCCAAATGGGTGTTCTGTCTGGATCGGATCTAGCGCTGGGACGGAATCTAGCGGCGAAATATTTTCTACCGACTTATGCACGGTTAAAGGTTTATCTGTAAGCATCGGGATACAAACAATGCATGGTTTAATCTTAAAATGTTTTAACAGTCCCTTTTCCTTTCTAGTTAGTTTTCTTGCCTTATTTTTACCAACTTTAATGTGACGTTGCTTCAAATTCTTATTTCCTCGTTTACATCCAATATTATTACTACTCCCATTAGAATTCTTGGAATCTAATTTAGACAAATGATATTTTTCAGGTCCTTTTCCTGACTTTTTACTCTTGAGCGGAGTTGGATCATCATTAGATTCATTGCATTTATCTTGATCTTGCATACACATTTCCTTGAGTCGCTCTTTCGCTTTTACAGCAGCTTTTCTCACAGGAAGAACCCTAACTCCTGTTATGTCTTCAGTTGGCTCTATGACTTTAATGGGTCGAATAGGGCGGGTGCCAAATACTTTTTGCCGTGCGATTTCAACTGCCCACTGTAGCAAAGAAAAGAAAAATATTGTATAATATAAGAATATGTTAACGATAGGCTATGTTTACCCCCCTTGTGTAGAGCAATAGTGGAAAATGTTATATACCGGTAATAAAGTTCGAACTACGGTTGCAGCATATATCTTTGAAAATGTTCAACTGAAGTCTCGATGCATGCATTTATTCATGCAATTTCACCACAGAACATTGTGAAGAGTAGCAAACATTCGAATGTTCAAAACAGGATAATGCTAGTAATGTCATAGAAGTGTAAGATCAGGGAGCAAATCACAGACATTTGATTGGTCACAATTCGGAACCGGCACATAATTGCACTGACCAATGAAAAAGCCGAAACCCGGAACAAATATCTCAAAGGTCAGTGAAACACATTTTGCTATTCAAAAATTGTTTTAAAATTGTATATTACCAATAACAAAAAAAAAACACATAGCATGGCACATTTTTTCTTAACTGACCTACTGTAAAGTGGCCGAGTTGTTTATTTAACGGCTGTTCATGCTTTATTGATTTACTGCGTGTTGTAACATATTTAAAGATCTATACATGTAATTATAAAACAGCATTTTCCTTGCGACTGATCTTTTGCATCTTTTTCAAGTCGTATCAAGTTGCATTAAATAAAGCATTCCTACTGGTATTGACTATTTGAATCACTTTGTATGTCTTCATATCTGGGTCATGAAAACTATCTAAAGTAAAGTATTGAATGCGGTAATTACTTAACCAAATGCAAAAATAAAGTTTTCTGATGCAGACTCATAAGAAAACTGGTTTTGTTTGCTGTCACACTGACTATGAAGACTTTCATGAAGATTTAGAATGGTTTAACCTTTAACCTGCCGATTTCGTTTTAAATTGACTTTTCCAGCTTTTCTATTTTTAGAACTGCCCGTTATCAATTTTAGGTATATCGTGAGTAAAATGTAAAACTGGTCAGCTAACAGACTGGAGCCTGCACGGATGTGTTGGCCCGTATGGCAAAAGCTTACCACGTTCGGTCACAGCAGGATAAGTGTTCAAAACTAACATTGAAAAAATTAGAGAAAGTATGCTAATTACCTTTGTTTTTAATCGCATACGTTTGAATGTCCAGCCACTTCTATTGAACGACGTATCCAACATTATTTCTTAGTTTTTGCTAATCCTTTTTTAGTATTGAATTATATACAATGTAGTTTATACCTTTATAACAATAAATCGCTTTTCATATTCTTCATTAAGGTTATACACACGATTTTCAACGATAACACAAATTTTTTTATTATCACAATATCGTAGCAAGAGAAAAGTTTTATACATCTAAATAGAAAATAAAACAATGATTTTTCTTTCGGAAAAGCAAATGCGGTGTTTATAGATTCGAATCTAATAATGTTTGATATACAGATGGATTTTTTAAAGTCATTAACAAGGTTCAATAAAGTAAAAAAAACGCTATTCTTGTAACAGATTGGATATCAATCGGCCTTTTCCTTACACTTTAATTGTATGAAAATTTCAACGTAACGGACTAATCGATAACGGTATTGTTCTACATACGTCCTTTAACGTATATATGAATTTCTAAACATATGTCCCCACGTTTTAAAATGGTTTTAAGCTGTTACTTGGGTAATATACAACAGGGAAAAAAAGAGAGGCTGTGAAATATTGTTGCGTTCATATTCTTACTGTTAAACATGGAGACAGTTTTAGCTGGACGTTTTTTAACTATTTAATGCATATAAAAAGACATAACATCAAACGTGTCCCCACAAAATTGTTCCACTCATGTATAAAAACAAAATAACAATGATACAGCGCATGCATCAGTCGCTATATTAGAAATTTTATTATAACAAACATTCTTCTTTCAATATAGTTAAGGTCTAACTTTTATATATATGTTTCTACAAATATATATTTTATCAAGTACATGTACATATATATAGCTAAATATATAGCTTTATAACTAGTATTGTAAATGTATTTGTTAGTCATTATCACGATTAAAATCTTATAATGGTTTGTGACAAGTTGCCTATCTTTCATGTTGGACATAATCATAAATAATTGTGATAAGTACTGATGAGTAGCGACATTGCAGACCACGCCTGTACTGGTCGGACAAATACTTAATCTTGAGCCTTTCACCTTTTTAATGTTTTATGTAAAGAAGTCGTCCGAGATATTCCGATTGTATGATAAGTATAGTTTTGGCGGGAATATCTCTCATTAATACATGCTGCTCAGTAACAAGGAATACATGCACTACTTGTCATAATGACAACTTCATCTTAAAGTTAAAGGAGTTCCACAGAAGTCTAAAAGCTCCAAAAATAAAAAATAAAATATATCAATTGAATTTGGGTACTTAAAACGGAAAAAAGTATGGTTAATAAACATATAATTAAATTGAAAAAATCGTAAATATAATTTGTGCTATTCTAAGCCAGATTTTAGTTATAATCGTGTATATTTGGTTTTCATTTTACAGTCTTCTTGAACGTTTGAAGTGATTATTCTGAAAACAAAAAAACGAGTGAGCAAATGATGTCAAATTGTGAATTCAAATATTTATTCTGTAGAAATAGCAAACATGAGTTTTAACGGTTCTAGAGCATATTAGATGCTTATTAGTAGCACATGCAGATAGTCACCCGGAATGTGAAATTCATATGGTTGTTTATATTCAGTTTAGAATTCTATTAGAATTATTATTATCCATGAATAAAAGTGTGAACACCTATGTGTTCTTATAGATAATAAGCAATGAAAAATGGCATCGTCATATTTTATAGACCGTAAATAAAAAGGGGCTGATGGGATGGCTTCATTCGTCCCCCTTAATAAAAGGATGTAATCGTGATTCTTGCTTTCGTGGAATGGATCACGAACTCCTACTTTCATTCCCACTGTACCTTTGCTCTTGCATGTTCAGACGTAATTAGTTCCTTGCGAAAGTGAAGGCAACTTGTACTGGTAAACTGATTGACAGCCTGCCCAAGGAACAATGCCGTGGCTGAACCGTGCTCTGGTAAATTAAATGTGACTTACTGCTGTGATCCTGTGTGAAAACTGCCAACATCAGCACCACAACCATCTTGCATAATAATGTCTTACGGCGATTTCTAACGAATCTGCCTTTGATGCACATGGCCAAAATGTATCCTCGTAACACACATAACACTACTCACTCAATAAACATAATGCACCACAGAAGCCGCTTTCCACACGCGGAAATCATCAATCACTGAGTAATTTTCACATCATGAACATTAGAAACTGGGCACTTTTAACTACGCGAACATTACTAATATTTACTCACTATGTGAAATTACTGAGTACGTTTCGCTATGTGCGACGTTTTTTTTTTGGAATGAGACTAATTAGTTTTCGTTAAATGTTAAATGTTCAGGGCATTTATATTCTTGTTCGTTGGACTTAATGCCTGAATCCTTTCACATGGGTTGGTATTCGATCTCGCCTTTGTTAAGTCGTAAAGGCTGGACAATATTGCGTTACGACTTAATTCTTTCATGACAAGGGAGGTTATTTCGAAATGCTTATACATTATTTGATACGACATTAAGTCCCTTCCGTTAGTAGATAAGATGTACAGGTACCATTTTTTAAAAAAGAATGTGTCAATGTTATAAGTAAGAAATATTGTTAAAAATACATACCGATTTACAATTAACCAGCGGCTGTTCAGAAAAAAATATACATTGTTCAAGTCTACGTACATAGGTCAAAGGCGCTACAGAAACTACATTTACAGATATGTAGCATGTTGAATAATCTGATGGTACTCACCAAAAGTTACATATCAATCCTTCATGACAAGAACTGGAGTTCAAAATGGCCCCGCCCTAGTGACCAGATGATTGAATAATTACATGTACATGCATTCTCTTTTGCATAAAGGAAATCATTTGAGTGATATAGGCGCATTATGGCACTCTTGTGCACATTAAGTTAAGTACTGATACAATTGATGTAAGATAAATTTGTATTTCGCCAATTTTTCGCCAACTGTTTTCGGTGACCTTTCAGAAATAGTTCTTATGGAAACCAAATCAAATACACAAACTATGTTTCGTGCGTTGCAAAGATACAAATTTTGTTGCCCATGCGTCTAGACGACGTCAAGTCAGATGAATAATGCATTTAGACGCAGTTATTGTCATTCAAATTACGTACGTTTGTTATTTCATGAAGTTATAAAGTAAACAAATAAGAGCTACTCTGACACTAAGCAGGTCCAAAAAGTAAACAACGTAATACTATCGAATTGTCTTTGACGTACTTTAAATGTGAATTTGCCTGCAGACAAGGCATTGATTTAACAAAGGACAGGTTAATTGAACATTTCTGCGCTTTCTTGAATGACTCTGAAAAATACATGTAAAACAATGCTTCTCTCATAACTACCAGGAAGTCGGTAATTTCTAGGTGGCAGGTTCGTCTTGCGCACATATCAGCCGCGCCATGACAAAACCAACATAGTGCGTTTGCGACTAGCATGGATCCAGGCCAGCCTGTGCATCCGCACAATCTGATCAGGACCCATGCTGTTCGCTTACAAACCCTAGTACAAGTAGAGAAACTGATAGCAAACAGCATGGATCCTGATCAGAGTGCGCGGATGTGCAGGCTGGTCAGGATCCATGCTGGTCGCAAACTCACTATGTTGGTTTTGTCATGGCGCGGCCCATATACTTAAAGTTACATGTTGTAATATATGAAAATGAGTTCATTTGATAACTGGATCCATTAATACTGTCTCCGCACTTCAAGCACATAATGTGTAGGTCGGTGAGTGCAGAGATTCTCTCATTTTCTTTTCTTTTACATGATCCAAATTGTTAAACGTGTATGCAGGGGATTCGGACACACCAAACATTTAACAATTAAAATTGGGATTATAGAATAGATGAATAATTTGCATCTTATGATGTGCTTTGAAGCAATTATAAAGTTTTCGTAATATGAACAACTGCTCCTTTGCTTTAACGGTTTATAAATAAAATTTAATAAGAATTAATTATGAAATTTAAAAAAAAATAAAGAATATAATGGGGCTAAATAAAAGACTATATTTCAATATCAGTATTGACATATCGAGAGGTAATGTATATCGAAGTATAAAATGTTTTCTCTTAAAGTTTCAGGATAGCTAAAGCGACATATTAAAACAATATTTCTACTATTCCTAATCAATCGAATGGGACCAATTGATACATAAGTGTTGAAACGGTCATTAACCTAATCTAAAATTTGATACAGAGTCATTTGCTCGATTTTTGGATGACTTTTAAACTTGAACATTAATATACGTCAATGATAATAATAATGCTATGTTAATTTAAACATCACATTCATTGTGAATAATAAAGTCACGTAGCGCTCTAATCTGTGAAGAATCTACCCGAGCTTAAGGCTTTTTTATGATACAGATGATGGACGATATAGGACAAAATCACGTATTTTAAACTATATTTAACCTCAAAGACGCCTACGCTCGTGACAGTTTAATCATAGTCACCATTTTAGTTATTGGACTAGATATTTGGACAATGTTAACAATAAATTTTTAATCAACCAAGCATAATTGTGGTTTTAATTCGGTTGTTTTCATAACAAAAGTGTCCGCTCGCTTGGGGGAGAACAGTTGGCTCAAATAAATCATATATTGTACTGCAGATCATTACAGTAAAATACAGAAAAGGGTTAATAAAGTAGATTATCTGACAATGTGTAAAATATAACCAATGATTTTTCAGAATTTGAACGACGTTATGTTCCAAAAGATATCATTATCGGACCAAATCCTATCAATTTATTCGTTTCCAGATTATAAAAATTCATTATGAAATGCATATAATTCCACGTATGGCCTCGTATAGTCCATATCAAATCTAAATTGTTCTCTCTCTAGCCTAATTTTCCGTACATTAAATCCATCTTGTAGAAGAAGACATGTATCTTTAATACGAAAACAGTGCTGCTTTTCTTTCATTCAATCATTGATTCTCCTCAATAATCAACTGAGTTAAATAAAGAATTCATACAATATTGATTCTACTGGACTCGTACACAGCTGTAAAACCTGTACATGACTCGTATAGCGCCTCGTCCAATATAGGTTTGACAGCTGTGCACTCGTCTATTGTATTCAACAATGTATCACATTATAGTACTGACATCTATTGTTAGATAGTAGACATTTTATATTATTCAAATACACTTTAAAGCACATGAAGACAAAAACATGCTAAATAACGAACAGTATCATGAAGTACTTCGGTTCTAAGACTGGGGTTGGGGGACGGACTTGGGGATGTATTAGGGGGTTTTATCAAGCTAAAACCACCAAAAGCAAACAGCTGATCACACTGAAAACATTTCTGTCCAGCCGTTCATTGCTGCAACACATCTACAACTTCATTGAATCCGAATGTTAACAAATCTTTGAATATAGTGTTTTATTGATCAATATTTGACATAAACTCAAAATAAACATTGTTTTCAAGGGTGACATTGACAAAGTAGTCTTTTTTACATTGTTATTTATTAGTTTTTATGTATATATCGTTCTCGTATAATGTATATTTTGGTGCGTTTTTTTCTATTTTTGTTTTAAATACACATCTAACGCGGCATGATTTTTTTAATTATATGTCAGTTTAAAATCAGCATGTGTGTTCTTTGTGCCACTTAACAGAACATTTTTGAATATATTTTGCAGAAATCGATTTTAGAATTGAAAAAAAGAAGAAAAAAAGAAGGTTTTTAATAACATATATTCATGCGCTGATTTCTTTTTCTATTTCTGCTGTTTACCACTGTAACATAATTATTTTCATGTAAGATATGCTATTGTATATTGCCCTTTTAATCTCTTGTTCACCTTAATCGAAAAACGGTTTGTTTTGCAAATAAAAAGTATTCTACTATTAGGAAATTTACGTCACATTGGAAGAAAGGTAAACAATATATTTCATATCCGTATATGAAACCATAGTTCAATCTTGTGGTTACTATTTTTTCCGCAGTTCTGATTTTTCGTGTCCGATAATCTTTGATATATTCCGCCATCGGCATTGTTAAATTCGTTAATGACAGTAAACATATTTGTTGTTTTAACCGGGTTCAAGATAAAATGTTGACGTGTTTTCAAGTCACGAAACCGTATATAAACCCTGCGCGAATATAAATGAAGCAAAAGCTGTCTTTGAACTAAGCAAGTTCCTTTTTGAAGTAATGATGGACGTTAGGCTTTGCGGATTCCTTATCATGCTCTGCGCTTGCGTGACTTTGACAATAAGTAAAAGTAAGTACGATTGTATTTTAGGTATCGGCTACAAGTTTTATTATTATGACAGCTTTAATTTAAATGCAATTCACAAAATTGATTTAATCTTATAAAATATACAGACAATTATATTATACTGAATAAGATGTAGACTTGTTCTTGTTAAGCAAAACGTTGTATTTTTAGGTATGTCTGTAAACAGTAAAGTATACTGACATTTACTATTATTACGCTATGTACGTGCATCTTAATTAAAGGAACTCTAATGAGACTTAAAAAAAAAAAAAAAAAAAAAAAAAATATCATAAAAAATGTATTTCTTACAATAATCAGCTGGCAGCTGGGACACTTTAAAAGGAAGATATGCAAACACCATAAAAGGAATATACTCGGAAATAAATTGAAACTCATACTTTTGTGCAATACTTTACAATTACAACGCTTCTCATTTTGTATAATTAGAATAAACCATTGAAAATTCAAAGTATTGACAGGCTGAACAGCGGTCAGTGCTGACCATGATTAGATCGTCCAGCTTTGCCCGGCTAGTCTTTTTTGACACTAGTTGAATGCTAGGGTTGAATTTCCCAAGGGTAAATGATGAAATGAATTGAAAACAACAAATCTGCGATTCTTTAATATTTTATGAAAGTTTAAAAAGGGGTTTTAAGAAGTTTCTTCCTGGTATAATGATGAAAGGCGTATATAAAATGTGATTAATAGCTTTATGTTGTATATACATATATTTTAAGTTTCAGAATACCTATTAAATGTCAAAGATATAAAACAACTCTTACTTCATAGTAACGGTGTAAAATATAGCTATAAACATTATATCAAACTTTCGTCATATTTTGCATAATCTATAAAAATATCATTTTAATTGTGAATATTTTATAACTTTTTTTAAGAAAAATGAATAGACGATTCGCTTTGCACTAGATTAAATATGACATTCGATATGGTCTGATTATCAATCATTATCGAGATTACTATTTTTCGTTGAAAAGAATTAACATTATTTCTTAAAATAATAATAATGGAAAGAATAATAATAATAATAATAATAATAATAATAATAATAATAATAATAAAATACGTGCGACAAATAGAAAAGTAATCAAACAACAATGATAACATATAACAACAACAACGACAACGACAACAACAACGACGACAACAACAGCGACGACGACGACGACGACGACGACAACAACAACAACAATAATAATAATGATAATGATAATGATAGTGTTAAGTTTCGATATAAGTCTATTCAATACCAAGTTTTCAGAATAACTAGATATTTATATTTACTGGTGATGTTGCATGAAAACGAGAAAGAAAAACGGACCTTGATATAATGAAAATTTTGGTTTATTTTCAGGTATTTCGAACCATGCACATACTGATGCTGAGTCAATTATCGAGGAAACAGGTATGATGCTGCTAATGATAATAATGTTAATAGTACAAATGATAATAAAGATGTTGATAATACTAATGATGATGATAATTTTTATGATAATGAATGTAAGAAGTAGAAATGATCATAATGATGTTACATAATTATGATGATGATAATGTTAATGAAAATGAAAGTAAGTAAACTATTAGAAATAATAAATGATAAAAATATAGTTATAATAATAATATAATAATAAGAAATAATAAAGATGATGATAATTATGATAAAAACGATGCTGATGATGATGATAATCATGGTGATGATCCTATTGAAATAAATGATGATAATGATGATGATAATGATGATAATAAAGATCATGATGATTTTGATGATGAAGATCATGATACTGATGATAGAGATGATGATGATGATGATGATGATGATTATGATGATATTGATGATGATGATTATGATGATATTGATGATGATGATGATGGTGATGATGATGATGATCATGATGATTATGATAACAATAAAGATGATAATGAAATAACAATTATGAAAATAATAATAATGATTGTCATATAATTATAAAAGCGGTATCTAACCTTCAGACTAAATTAAACTAACGTGAACATTTACGGAAAGATGTCAAGTATCTCGTATGAAATTCGAGGAATTTCTTCCATTTGGACAAGTTATGCCGGCTTAAAAATTCGCCAATTTGATGCAATAAACAACGTTATGAAATTATGAAGGCAACTTAAGACATTGCATAAATCATAGTTTTTAACTAGGTCAGTAATGCAAGAATACATATACCATAATGCTGTTTGTCATATAATAAATATACATTTTCTTACACTAAAGAGAGAAAATAAAAGTTGTGTGCACATTTTCAGTAAAACTGTTACCAACTTCCGACGACTATAAAGCAGCCATTTTGGACAGTCGTATCAAACGCAGTTCGGGTGCCTCCTCCGACTCTGATGACAGCGGTTCCGTGAATACAGACAGCTCAGAATCTAGTGAAAGTGCAGACAGTTCAGTCTCAAACGACCGTAAGAAACGCAGTGCGGGAACCCCCTCCGACTCTAATGACAGCGGTTCCGTGAATGCAGACAGTTCAGTATCTAGTGAAAGTGCAGACAGTTCAGCCTCAGACGACCGTAAGAAACGAAGTGCGGGTACCTCCTCCGACTCTGATGACAGCAGTTCCGTGAATGCAGACAGTTCAGTATCTAGTGAAAGTGCAGACAGTTCAGCCTCAGACGACCGTAAGAAACGCAGTGCGGGTACCTCCTCCGACTCTGATGACAGCGGTTCCCTGAATGCAGACAGTTCAGTATCTAGTAAAAGTGCAGACAGTTCAGCCTCAGACGACCGTAAGAAACGCAGTGCGGGTACCTCCTCCGACTCTGATGACAGCGATTCCGTGAATGCAGACAGTTCAGTATCTAGTGAAAGTGCAGACAGTTCAGCCTCAGACGACCGTAAGGAAACGCAGTGCTGGTACCTCCTCCGACTCCGATGACAGCGGTTCCGTGAATGCAGACAGTTCAGTATCTAGTGAAAGTGCAGACAGTTCAGCCTCAGACGACCGTAAGAAACGCAGTGCTGGTACCTCCTCCGACTCTGATGACAGCGGTTCCGTCAATGCAGACAGTTCAGTATCTAGTGAAAATGCAGACAGTTCAGACTCAGACGACCGTAAGAAACGCAGTGCGGGTACCTCCTCCGACTCTGATGACAACGGTTCCGTGAATGCAGACAGTTCAGTATCTAGTGAAAGTGCAGACACTTCAGCCTCAGACAACCGTAAGAAACGCAGTGCGGGTACCTCTTCCGACTCTGGTGACAGCGGTTCCGTGAATGCAGATAGATCAGTATCTAGTAAAAGTGCAGACAGTTCAGCCTCAGACGACCGTAAGAAACGCAGTGCGGGTACCTCCCCCGACTCTGATGACAGCGGTTCCGTGAATGCAGACAGTTCAGTATCTAGTGAAAGTGCAGACACTTCAGCCACAGAAGACCGTAAGAAACGCAATGCAGGTACCTCCACCGACTCTGATGACAGCGGTTCCCTGAATGCAGACAGTTCAGTATCTAGTGAAAGTGCAGACAGTTCAGCCTCAGACAACCGTAAGAAACGCAGTGCTGGTACCTCCTCCGACTCTGATGACAGCGGTTCCGTAAATGCAGACAGTTCAGTATCTAGTGAAAATACAGACAGTTCAGACTCGGACGACCGTAAGAAACGCAGTGCGGGAACCTCCTCCGACTCTGATGACAGCGGTTCCATGAATGCAGACAGTTCAGTATCTAGTGAAAGTACAGACAGTTCAGCCTCAGACGACCGTAAGAAACGCAGTGCAATTTAATTTCAAATTTATTTTTTCCATTTTGTTTTCATTTAAATGTAAGCTAGATTATTAGGTTTCATAGCAACTTTGCAGAAACAGTTGCAAATTGAGAACGACGTACTCATAATACAAATTAAAGCATGGGCTATGGCAGTCATAAACATTCAGTATTACAGAACAAAATAATAAATAAACACTGACGAACATACTCGTTGTGAAATTACACAGATCACCTTACATGCATAATAATTATACATATTTCGTTTAACATAACGGCATTCTATAACGTCATGTGCCTTTATCTTCATTTAGTTTTGGAGCGAATATTTTCCAACATTGTAATTTACTTCATTTGTTTATGTACATTTGTTTTTTTTATTTCAATGATTATATTTATTAATAAAAATGTTACATATTTAAAGGACGATCAGATATTGGTTTTTGATCCACTTTCTTTATAAATAGAACCGGAAGGTTGAAAACTAAGAATGCGCTGTAATGTACTATTCAGTTGATGAATCGTTGGTTTGAGACCTTCTGGAGAAACGGCTTTCATCATATTATCGTATCGGCACTGTACTGAAAGGTCAAGGACGCAACCAAAAGTGTTTAAAGGACCAATATTCCTCAGAAATGCTTTGATTCTTATTTCCCCAAAGGTCTTTATTTTAAATGCAAATTACACAACCACCATCTGTTGCTAATTGTATTGACAATTATTACGGTTAAAGTGATGAAGTATTTTGTATGAATATCAAAATATTACCTTGTTTACATTTTGTTACGTTAATAGGGTTCAGCGCTTCTGTCATCAGGTGATAATCATAAGTATCTAACATGCTCTAAACTGTTATAAAAATCATATTTTGCCCTTTGTAAAGAATGAAAAAATATTTGTTTCCTAGGCAAAATGTGTCTTTAAATTAACTGTATTGGTCTACATAGGTATATTGTCTATGAATAATACAAATATTGAAGACCAAAATCCCGAAATATTTCATTTGGATATTCTTATAGATTGAATAAATGTTGATAAAGTTCTTAGCGATTTAGTATGAACAATTATATGCTGAATAATCAATATAATAAAATTTTGTTCTGGAACAATTAATTATCAGCTATATAAATTTATGTTTTATCGGATCTTGTACGAGTATCCCAAACCACAGTTGGCAGTTTAAGCACAGAGCTATATATAAATGTAATAAAAGTCTCTGGTATAAGTGTTTATCGTTTTTTTAACGTTTTTTTAATGGTATTTTTGACTTGTCACAGCCCTTTTGGAGTCTCATACATGCGCTGTTACACGCGATCTTATTGCACGATAGGCGCCAAGCATAAAAAAAATGAATCAGCTCGTACAATCAGATCGCGTGTTACAAAACTGCCAAGATTGCTCATTTATGAGTTTTATTTGTTTGGGTCGTCAGACCAAACAAATAATGGTAGCGAAATTTCAGACCCTGATGTTCTTATTTGCAAATGCCGAAAACAGTCCAAACTCCTCGAAGAGGTTACTTCCCTTCATATGTACATTAACGCCGAAAAATTAAGGGGAGATCACTACGTAAAGATTGTCAAATGACAGGCGCATTAATTTTCGTAACGAAAAAAATAGTTCCCGATTGGTCGAAGATTTCTAATTTTGTGTTATTCTTATAGATATACATGCTTATATTCAGCTCCATGATTATTTACTTCAGTATGAAACAACAGGTTTACCGTGAACAAAATATATCGAAATTACCAAGGATTACAAACTCTAATTAAGAATTATATGGTATTCTTCAGCCTGTTATCTTATAACTCCCCGTGGTCGAGGGGTTTAAACGCTCCCTGTAGAAGCGAGAGGTCCGGAGTTCAAATCCCAGTTCAGGCAACTCATGTTTTTTTAAATTGATTAAGCCAAATAAATATTGAATTGAATATCAGTGTTGCAATCAGTCTTATAGCCAGTTTACTATAGTTATAACACTGGAAACAGAATTTGGTGACAATTTACAAGCAAATTGGTTTATAATCTCACAACCTTCACCTTTCTGACATTCTGAGACTCAAGCAAAGTCAGCGCCTTCTGTGCTTTGATTTCCTGGTGTGTTGTAATGAACTATCAACGTACTTATTTATTGCATTATTGTATATAGACCTTCCATCATAGACAATTCACTTCTGATATACATAATGTACATATATTAGTGTATATAACTAGAAATATTATTCTCCCTCCTCCAACCCTCCACCCCCGAAAAAAAAACAAATAAAAAAAAAACAACAACAACAACAAAACAAACAGACAAAACCAAAACAACAACGAGCATAAATAGGCAATATCTTAACTTCGATGTTTCTTCGCCACTTTCAGACTTATCAAGCCTCGTTCCAGACTAATAAAGTTTCACTGTAAAATCTTATCGACTGCCTTTTAAAAACGATAAATATATTAGGTACGGACAATATCGATGTTTGCGGAATGTATATAGTCTAATAATAGAAGTTTTACCTGACCCTGACATGTTTTTCAATATTTAGTAATACAACTTGCACCAATTCCCAAGATATGGAGGCAGTGGAGCACCGCCTGACTTTTGTAACTGAAATATTATCAGTGGAATAACTAGCATGGAATTGTTTTAATTAGTTAAGATAACTTGAATTTCCTAACGTAAATTTAAACAAAAATTATGTAGTTGTCGCCATGGTTGGGAAGTGTACGAATCTACAATATCTATACTATATTATATTCTAAAATACGGTATATGTTTCGCGTATTTCGACTTTAAAAGGTCTTAATAACACATATCAAACGACATCTGATATTTTTCACGGTTTAAGCTTCACTCTAGCTTATTCTTAAGACGGGATTAAGTTAAAGTTTAAAACAATGCGCTTTACCAACATCTATACAAAAAAACGAGTTGGACATTTTTTGAATACTTATGTTTAAGTATTATTTTCCATGTACCTAATGCGCAGAACGTGTTAAGGTTAACCTTTCCATCAAAAACCTGCGATCTCCGTTATCTTAAAAGCGTTTACGAACCTTTTCATACACTTTTACACACTTTCAATAATCATAGTTATTTGCCATGATATAATTTTAACATCATACTTATGGCAAAATGTAGGATGATTGCAGAGATGCACATAGCTCGATTGACGACGTTAATTGTTGAGAAGCTATATGATGACTCTTAACATTCTAGAATGTTGCATATAATTTTACAGAGTTTTCATATAGAGACATATAGGCAAAATTAAAACTGTTCAATAGAATTTCTTTAAACTTGGCATGTTGTTAGAATATGATAACAAAAACATTTTAAGCGAAAAACAAATTGGGGTCACCGTTCTTGTTTTTGAGTTATCTGCCCCTGAATCAGACTTATTTACTTAATTGAGGTCGTTTCAAGGACAGATAACTTATACATAATTAAATGAATTCTTGGTTTTACTTCTGGATTATGTTTTTCTTTTTATTGTTGATTGCAATACATAACAATATATGTATTTCCTTACATCGTTTTTGTTATTTTTTTTCAATGAAATGGAGGTACTTTAAATTCTTAAAAAATAGGCCATTTTTTAAGAAAAAAATGCACAGGTTAAAAGAAGAAGTGGGAATAAAAACTACCCACTCTAAATTTGTTCTTGAAATTTTGCATATCAACTAAAACGAAGGTTAGCTTCATGAAAATAAGAAAGAAAAATTGCATTAATTTCCTTCATTGTAAATTATCTGCCCTTGAATTTATTAAAAAAGTCCAATTCAAGGGCAGATAACTCAAAAACGAGAATGGTGACCCCAATTTTTCTTTCGCTTAAAATGTTTCTGTTATTATATTCTAACAACATGCCAAGTTTAGAGGAATTCTATTGAACAGTTTTAATTTTTCCTATATGTCTATATGAAAACTCCCGAAAACGTCTTCAACGTAAATTGTTATGCACGAATAGCTAGCGCTAATACATTATCATCATCTGCAGTAGGCCTTGGACTCATGAAATCCCTTGTCCTGCCGACTAAGGCTTCTAGAGATGTAAATGCATGAAAAACGTCCACTTTCCGTATATTGATTAGATTTTGTCAACAATTCAGGTTACAAAGAACGCTTTTAATAAAACTTTAAGTGGCGTGGTATCATTTTAGGAAACATTTTTTTCCCAAATGTACTAGTTTCGACAATCATGGTTGTCAACAAATATCTGCACTACAAGTGCATATCTGCATTGCAAGTGCATTTCAAACGCATTTATCGTTTCCTTATCTAATTAGGACAAGTTAACTGCATGAGAAAATGCACGTTCTTTAAGATTAAATTTGCATGTCAGAATAAACATACAGTTTTATCTGTTGATATTTTTGTTAAGACATATTTGGTCTATTTTGGTTGAGTTGTATTGAGTAATTTTGCCTTGTCAAGAATCTCATTGTTGATGTTTTAGTGTTGAAGATATAGATCTGTAGATATTGGTTGTTTTGGTTTAAGTTGTTTTGTGATGCTCATTAGATTTTGTGAAGTTAATATTTATTGGTTGAATGTTTGTGGTTTATACTGTGTCTTAGAGAAGTAAATAATTTATTTTGTGGCGATTTTATTTTTATTATTTGTTTGATTATAAATTTGTAAAAAGCTTTAGCTCGCCGGGTGTTTTGGATCGCTTCGAATAAAAGACGTATACGTGAAAAGATAGTTTGTGGTTTTTGAATGATGTGTGTTTGTTTTGGGTGTAAATAATGATCAGAGTTTGTTGTTTTAATGTATATATGGATTTGAGATAGTAAAAGATAAAAAATACCTGAACCATTAAGCAGCAAGAATGTTTACTACTGTTACCAAAAATGTTTTGATATTTACCACACCGTATTACCGGTGCCAATGGTGGCAGGTTGCTGCAGAGGTAACTGAAATCTAAACCGATTAAATTGGTAGGTATGTTTATATAAATGCAAATAAGTACAATTACATTGCATTAGACAAAATTTCCACTGAATGCGTTTCCACTTTCCATAAACTATTCTGAACAGGTTAAAATTGACATCTTCGGAAAAATCATTAAAAATGATGTAGGTTTTTCATCAAAATATACCCCAGTTTGAAACACATGGAGAAATTTCGTATTATACACAGAAACAACCCAAGGGGATTCAAAGTTTCTTCTTGCTCAAGGAGGACACGACTAGCCCATTACGGGACTCCGAATCCACATAACCCAGCAATACTATAAGTACTTCCCGACACGTTTGGCTGGAAACGGGAAATGTGTTAACCAGTTATAAGAATCAAGCCAGGCTGGACATTCCGTGCAGTTCTGAGCAGGTTTTATGTACTGTCTCTGGACTTTAATTTTTTTAAATTTTTCTATCTTTTATGAAAAAACAGTTCCAAGAATGGAAAGCTTTAAAAAGTTCATTTTCGCAAAAGT